CTGCTGACAGTGCATTCAAACAGGGCTGCGTTTCCCAAAAGTATCATAAGAAAGCATTAAAGCTTTTGGGAATGGCAGCCCTGAACAATGCTTATCAGAGGACAGAAATAAAAACATAAATGTTTGAGTTATTTCACAATAAACAAATTGAAATTGTAGCCTACATAGTTTGTGCAATTACATTTATTTAAATTGAACGTTGAAAGATAATATTGATCATGTTCTATTCTGTAATGTTAATAGAAATCATACACTGTCAGAATAAAAAGGTTGCATTTTATGCATGCAACAGCCATTCACTGGCAGTCCCTAATGGCAGTACAAAATATTGCACTAAATCAAAAGTTCAAATGTTACAAAAAAGTTAGAATATTAATGTTGTAATACTGGTAGCATTAATATAAAAATGTGGTGATATATGTTACAAAAAAGTAACAATTTTGAAATATGTTGATGGTTGTATTTTTTTGTATTTGATCTCAGTATTCCTATCAATGTTGTATAAGGGTTTTTTATGCATAATAGTAACCCTAGAATGTGATCAAACAGTTTAAAACAGCTGGGCTAAGATATATAACAATTTTTAAGACTGCAGAAATATGTTAATTCAGTATACACATTATCCCACCGGTTACAATTGTGACTGACCATAAAATAACATTTTTCACACACTTCTCAAAAAAACAAACAATTATTGATTATTTCAAAGGGTTACTAATGACGCATCATTTGGATATTTTCATGTCTGGGAAAAATTTGGGATTAAACGGGTTAAAATGCGTTTTAAACAAAGTTAAGGGGTTTTCATTACCCATTTTACTCTTAGTAATTTAATAATTTCATAATTTAAAAGTTTAGTGCAGAAGTATCGAATCGGTATCGATATCGACGATACTGCCTTGAAAAATATCGGTATCGTATCGAAAACAAAATAAGTGGTATCGCCCATCCCTATTCAGAACTAGCGATAGAACGTTCCATTTATTTCCGCTAATAGGCTCTTTGCAAAGAACCGGTTCAAGAAACGATTCGGCAATTACGTCATAGCGTAATACGTCATAGCGTGTTCCCTCAAACACCAGCGTGGCATATTACGTTTCTAAAACATTCCCAAGACGCCATGCAGGCATTTTATTTTGCACATATGCACATATTTATTTTAATGAAGGTGATTACTGTGATTTAATCTATCCCATTCAGTCATGTTCAACAACAAAGTCAGTTAGAACTCATAACTTAAGTTTGCATTGAACAATCTCAGGGCTGATACGTTTTTGCACGTTTTATTTAATAAACAAACTCTGCCTTGTATAAACTTACATACAATCATAAACGTTTTATTTGTAACACTTCCACTGTTTGGCTATTAAAACAACTCGTGTCGGACATGTTCGAAAGACAGCCAGTCCGAATCATTCACGTTCAGACCGCTTTTGTGAACCGGCTCAATCAATTCATTGAAGATACATCGAACTCAAAAGAACCGTTCGTTCAGGATAGCAGGCGTTGGAGTTGCTCCCCACATGGCGACGCGACTACAACGCACAGCAGATTATCCATCTAGTATTAATTCAAAGCGTTAAATGCTGTCTTTGCTAAACTGACCAGCATGTAGAGCTGGACAGTTAATCTCTCCCAATACGAAAAAGTTAGTTTTTGCAGATTTTAAGGCCGAATTACTGAACCAACTGAATTTTTTTCCCAGTTATTCTCGGAAACTGTTTTTCATAACAAATGCAAAAGTTCAACAGTTGTGTTGCTATTGAATCAGTACAGAACAGCTAACACAATCTTTCTCCTAAAAGGTTTTAAATCGAAGCACAGCATCGCATAAACAAGCCACAAGTATCAAACAACCAAAAGCCTTTTCATATTAATTCACTATAATAATGCACTAACCTCAATGGCACCAAACAATGCAGTCTTGATTGAGAAGCATACAGAGCAACGATAAGACACGAATGCATTTAAACAGAGGAAAAACTTTCAATGCACGCTGCGCACGCACCGTTGCCAAATTTCTACACACCCCCTTTCCACAAGGCTCGCTCTGACCGGCTGTAACTTGAAAATGTCCTTTTTCAGAGCCCAGATCGGCTTGCGTTTAGGCATTCAAAATCCCGGCCTGGACTTTTCCGGTTACGCGTAACTGTACATGTTTGATGAAGCACACCACTAAGCACACGTAAGAACACCACTATTAAAGCGGTCTACTCTAATCTACAGTGTTCACTTTACACGCCATGGATGAGTCGAGCTTCTGTTTGATTTAGTTTGAATCCGCATTGCTTCCGTCTTCACAGAGATGAGCCGTTCCAGCGTAATCCAGTGCCGGGTTTTCCACTCAGCGCCTTCTAGCGGGCTTCTGCTCTTGTAGTAAACAACCTGACCATGTGGTAGAGATGTCGACGCTCATTGGCTAAACACCGCTTTCCAAGACACACGCCCTACAATTCCAACTTGTTTACGCAGAAGTTGAGGAAGGGTCAAGAAACACAATGGACACACATAGCGCACTGTATTTCACGTACTCCCACACCACTTTTATTTAAACTCTGCGGCTTTGCATTGCTCCTGTAAAATGCATTTAAACAGGAATGCAGAGAAACAACCTGCAAATGGCTACATACTGTGCAAATAACGATTAAAAACGCGAACTCCTGCATATTTGTTATATTTCTATGCTTTTTATTTCATGGCATGAAGTGTGCATTAAAACTGCAATAATTTAACAATCATATAGGTGTCTGCAAAGTGCAGGATTTGTTTGGCTGGTTGATGTTGCACTGTATGCATTTCCTTTATAAGATTAACCTTGGGGTCATGTTTGACTTGTTTTCAGTAAAGAATATGCTATAAATATATGCTGTTATAAAATATACAACATGAAGTGATTCAAATGCAAAGATTTGGCCAGAGCTGTCTTCACGTTTTTGAATAACTCAAACAAATAGTTTTGTTTTCAACGGTTTTCCAAGATTATTAATTTTTGTTTCTATCATAATGTGCTTTGGAACCAGAAAACACACAATTTTTTAAGGGGGGGTCTAATAACAAACGAGAGTCAATGGTTTGCTATGAGAGGGTTAATCTATATGTTTACCTAACAGCAGGTATGTTGTCTTTAAATGTACAATAGAAAGCATCTTAAGTTCTTAAAGGGGGGGGGTACAATGCTGTTTCATGCAGTCAGAGTTGTTTACACTGTTAAAGAATTCTCATGCTAAGCATGGACAGTTTCAAAAAACAATTCTCGTCACTCTTTAGCCCCGCCCACGGCGCGCCTCCAGGAGCTCGGCTTTTTCCGGACAGAATCGTAAAACTGTATCTTTCTTTTATAAATATGATCAAACTAAAGACTTTTTGGAGATATGAAGGATGCAGTTCGACTCTATAGGTACTCAAGATTAACATGAGATTGGGTGAAACTGTGTGTGTTATGCCCCCTGTAAGTTCAGTAGCTGTGTTTTCTTTCTTTCCTTTTTTCAGTAGCTGAGCTTTCTAAAGGGGGAGGGTATGAAAGGGTTACATAATACGAACTTTCCCAGTCCGGTGGCATCGCCGCCGCACGCCATTGGTCGATCGCTGTGACGCAGCTCCCCACGCGCTGCGCTCGTGCATCAGTTGAGGCCAATGATTGCGTACGTGCGCGAAAGCACATACACGTGCTAGAAAAGATTAACATGAGATTGGGTGAAACTGTGTGTGTTATGCCCCCTGTAAGTTCAGTAGCTGTGTTTTCTTTCTTTCCTTTTTTCAGTAGCTGAGCTTTCTAAAGGGGGAGGGTATGAAAGGGTTACATAATACGAACTTTCCCAGTCCGGTGGCATCGCCGCCGCACGCCATTGGTCGATCGCTGTGACGCAGCTCCCCACGCGCTGCGCTCGTGCATCAGTTGAGGCCAATGATTGCGTACGTGCGCGAAAGCACATACACGTGCTAGAACGGTTCTGTAAATCGGTCAGAGGTCAGAGGTCCTGGTGCGTTTCCCAAAGACTGCAACAGGCGTCACGTGAAGAGGGGCTTTAAACCTGACAGTATTTTTTTTTTAACTGTTATTTTATTTACTCACCATCGAACGTGAGTATTAAGCGTTACAGAAAATAGGTCAAAGAAATATGTTTATATATATATATATATATATATATATATAGCCTGTATATTTAAAGGTTGTTGTCACTTCCACGATGTTGACGTTTTGGCAGCTACGTGTGACTAACAACTAGACAAATGTGTTGATAGGTTTATGATAAATGCATGATGCAAACTTTTTGTGCAGCGTGATTTTTATATTTTCACAGTGTATTAGTATTTGTGTGTATATTTAGAAGCAAAACAAAAACATTTAATTACACACATTAAGAATTTATTAGATAAGGCATGCAAATTTAAGATCTTGTAACATCAATAAATCCAAATCATGCTTAGCATTTACGTATCAGGTTGATTCATGAGATTTCACTAATCTTTAAAGAACTGGTTAAAAACAAAATGCCCACTTGAACATGAATCAAAACACCCTCAATAATGTTTGGTGAGACAGAAACCCCAGGCATAAGACATTAATAAATGTAACATATTGTCACAATGTAAGATTCTGTGGTAAATGCCCCTGTAGTGAATGCGTCCTTTTATGTTATCTAATATTTGATATATTACATATTATTTTACTTTAGATCTAGTTATGAGTTCAATATAGTTTCTGTTTAATATAAGGGTCAATGACAAAAAAAGGATGTCAAAAATTACAAAAAGAAACCATGTCCTTATACAAAGTTCATAGAAATGCATGTTGGTTTCATACATGTATTTTTTTTTTTAAGTCTACAAAATGTTTGACTTTTTTTTTTCTTCAATTTTCAAAGGTCACGAATGTTTGACAAAAATCATGCATCAGAGTCATTAAAATGGTTTCTTGCATGTTGTTTACACTACTCAGACTTTAATTTAGCAGAGAAGTATCAAAAATCATAATACAATTGTCTCCCTGCTTCTTATTTTTAAAGAAAATTTTCAGATCTAATTATTTCAAAGATTATGTAAGAATTTCAGCCTCTAAATGCCTTCACAAAAGTTCAAAAAGTAAGAAAAATAAAAGCCCAAATACTATGGAGCAAATATTTCCCTTAATAAAAGAATAAAGTCAATCTCACCAGAACAAGAGGGTTAATTCTAAAGCATCTGTTACTTTAATTACATCATTCATGCCCACTGGAATTCATACATTTGTTCAAAACCTAAAAGTAATCACTAGTATGCTGCTATTTAAATCCATAAACTTAAACGTATACAGACCAGTTGATCTGAGAGATAAAGTCTATATTGCGCCCCTACTAAGAATGAATATGAATACAGAATAATTTCACAATACTGGACTTCATTAGAAAAAGATTAAAAGGAAAACCTTCATTTTTGTTTAGGTCTCTTTGGTAATGATGCCGACACTTCTCCCTCCTCTTCAGATGGAGATGACACCTGATTTTCTTGTTTATGTTGCATTTAATCTGTGGCCACCTGAATAGAGATCCCTATTTGTCAAAACAGGTGTGGCCAGAAGATCAGGCTCCCTCCCCTAAGGGACACTGACCATTCTTGTCTGAGACTGTCTGAACCATTGCATAAGGATTCAGCTTTGAATCAGTCCAGTCAATGCTGAGGGACCGATCGGGGGGCTCCTATAGTTCCTATAGTCTCAAAGTTTGATGGGCACTTATGGGAGTCAATGCCACAAAGCAGGACCTCAGCCTGGCTTCAGGAGGATACAGAAACCATTTATCTCCAAATAGTGAAGGGGTTTGTTTAGTTTGAGCATTTGAGGTTGCATAATAAAGATGGTGGACCTCTCTGCAGGCATTCAAAGTCGGTGGTGTTTCGCCTACAACAGCGACTCCACTTTTGTCACCTGAATTAAAAAATAATAAGAAAGGTACTTATATGTTTGTATTGTCATGTGAAATTTCACTCAAAGAGTATTTTAAAAGTAGAACAGGGTCATCCGAAGTGCTTATACTTTCTCAGAGAGCTTGAAGTGTTACCGAACCCTCTGTCGCGGTCCCAACCCCTCCATTTATTTGAGGTTGTAGGCTTGAACCTGCAGAAAGCACAGATATATAGTCATACGTCAGATCATCCTGTGTGGTGAGAAGTGAAGCAATTTCACTGGGATTAAATGACTTTTTTGTCCTGGAGAGACATACCGTGAGTGAGAGTGTGACTTCTCCACGGTCTGTACGCAACGTCACCCTCCACAGCCTCTAAACCTTCAAAGACGAGATTAAAGAGCATCTGCTGAGTGGGGTTGATAGCATTGCTAAAAGATAAACAGCTATTCAGATTCAAAAGAAATTCATAGTGATTGACAACTCAGTTTACCGATTTCATCTTCTGTGATGTCATTAGCAGCAGGGTTTTGTCTGGCACCTCTTGAATCATCCATTTTTGCCTGTTCAGTTGAGTTTTACAATTGAGCACAAGATTTACATCACATTTATATGATAGTTTATAGAAACACTGCAATATACTAAATACAAAACAGTAATATTGTATAGAAATATTTTTACAATTTAAAATAACTTTTATATTTGAATATATTTTAAAATGAAAAAAAAAAAAGCATTTAAAATTAATACTTTCATTCAGCAATGATGCATTAAATTGATCAAAAGTGACAGTAAAGCCATTTCTAATGTTACCAAAATAAAATAAATGCTGTTCATGGAACTTCTATTCATCAAAGAATTCTGGAAAAAATTATCACCGTTTCCACAAAAATATTAAAACACCAAAAAGTGTTTGGAGCATTGACAATAATAAGAATCATTATTAATAATTGAGCACCAAATCCGCATATTAGAATGATTTCTGGAGGATCATGTGACTCTGAAGACTGAAATAATGGCTGCTGAAAATCAGCTTTGCCGTCACAGTAAAAAAATTATATGTTAAAATATATTCAGAAAGGAAAGTTCGTTTTTAATTTTACATTTTGTAATAATATTTGACAATATTACTGTTCTATTGTGATCAAATAATAGCAGTCTTGGTGATCATAACATTTTTAAATCTAAATTATATAATTATTCCAAATCTTTGGCTGCCAGTGTATGTGTTTGAGGAAAAATAAATATTTCTATATAAATAATAAAAAATATGATTTTTTAATAGTTTATTCATGTGAAGCAAAGCTGCATTTTCAGCATCATTACTCCAGTCTTCAGTGTCACATGATCCTTCAGAAATCATTCTAATATGCTGATTTATTATCAGTGTCGGAAACAGTTGTGCTGCTTAATATTTTTTAGGACCTGTTTCAGGATTTTTTGATAAATAAAAAGTTAATAAACAGTGTTTATTCAAAATAGAAATTGTGTGTTACAATATACACTACTATTCAAAAGTTTGGGGTCAGTAAATTTTTATTTTTTTTTAAAGAAATTCATACTTTTATTCAGCAAGGATGTGTTAAATGCATAAAAAGCGATAGTAAAGGCTTATATTGTTAGAAAATATTTATATTTTGAATAAATGCTGTTCTTATTAACTTTCTATTCATCAAAGTTTCAAAGAAAAAAGTATCAAAGGCAGGGGGGTGGGGCAGGGGGGTTAGGACGATTCCAAGGGTCCGGCGAGGGAGAGGGGGCCCA